AGGGAGCACCCATGCAGGAGGGAGCACCCATGCAAGAGGGAGTACCCATGCAGCAGGGAGCACCCATGCAGCAGGGAGCACCCATGCAGCAAGGAGCATCCATGCAGCAAGGAGCACCCATGCAGCAGGAAGCACCCATGCAGCAAGGAGCACCCATGCAGCAGGGCGCAAAAACCCACCGGCACCTTCCTTCAATGCGCCCAGCCCATCCAGCCCATCCGATTCAGCTTGCAGCGTTGCCGAACGCAGCCGAATAGGGATTTATAGGCCCATCCTGCTGGGCTGTCAATTCCAGCAGTGATTTTTTAGTCGACTGAAAAATCACCTACAGCCAAACTTGGATTGTTTGGCCCGTTGTCCCAGCAGGAGATCTTTGGGCCGTTGAGTTGATTCCGGCAGCGGCATTTGCTTTTCTGGGAGGGGCCAACAGCACCCGGGTTTCAGACTTTGTAGCTGTTGACACGCGTAACTGTTGTCGTGGCTCAAGGGTGCAACTCATGAATGCGCGTTCAGATTCCCTTTCAGTTTCATTTCAGTTTTCACTAAGTGACTTGTGTTTCGCAATTGTGGAGTTAGTACAGTTCATCCAGTATTTGACACATCAGCTTGATATTTCTGCATGGGTGTGGTGATTGGTTGTGTGCCAGACTCTCCCGGCTTTCCGTGTTTGTGAGCGCTTAATATATTTGCACTAATAATGCAATAGCATGTCTTCTTGTTAAAAAGCTCTCTGCACCAATGCTCTGCCATACTAACAATGCTACACTAGCACTGCAACGCAACACAAAGCCGTGATTCCGCACGGTTACATTGTTGCAAAACTGTACAACACGCAGGGCCAGATGCATTGGCCTTTGACTTCTTGCTTGTGGGGTTCATCTCCTCTTGAATATGCTCTAGTATCTCTATTATGCGTGCAAAGGAAGGCCTTAGTGCAGGATATCCGCTCCTGCAATCTGTTATCAGCCTGGTAGTGGGGAGGAGAGAAGATGGGGGGAAAGGGGGAGGGAAGACGGGGGACAGGGTGGGAGGAGGGAGGGAGACAACAGGCTTTAGGGTTCAAGGATCGTGCAGGTGAGAGAACAAGTCGTCGTATGCACACGGCGAAGGCAGGAAGGTGAGTAACGATGGGAAGGGCAAGACCAGAGCAGTATCATTTAGAACTGGTTTTGAGGTGCCTCAGAGGGAGCATGTTTTGTGGCACGATCGACTGCAGGGCATACCCATGCGGCACACCCATGCGACACACCCATGCGACACACCCATGCGACACACCCATGCGACACATGTGAGAGTAGTAGGTAGAGTTAGGTGGGCTTGGGAGCCATAGCTTAGGAGCCTTGGTAGTTAAGTTCGAGGGTGAGGAGAGTGTCGAGAAAATTGTAAAGGAGAATGAGGTGAGTTTCACTAGCAGCAATGAGGATACATATAGCAAACCCTAGATGGGTTGTACTCGCTATAGAGCACCCCACTACAGGCTAGAGAATAACATTCTGACACACCCCCATAGCCAAAGTGGGGTGTAATCAGTACAATGAGCAAGCAGGTATAGAGCAGGAGTTCACAAAGGTAAGCAAAGTTAGAGCTAATCACAGAGGGCAAGTGAGGAGGAGGAGAGACTGTGGAGGGAGAAAAGATGGGAGGCAACGACTGAAGCTACAGAGGCACGGGCACAGGAGCGGCTGACTCAGAGGCTACCGAAGCAAGGGCGACGGACTACTGGAGTGACTGGCTCCGCGGCTATAGACGAGCGGCAGGAGCAACGGACCCACTGGCGACTGGTGCAACAGGCTCACTGGCTACCGAAGCAAGGGCGACGGACTACAGGCGCTGCAGGTGACAAGACAGCTACCTTCACACAACCTCCTCCAACTGCCCCACTCCCCTCTCACACACCCCATGTTCAAACCCTAGCTCCACTCCCACAGCACCCCCTTTAAGCCCTAAACCCTAGGCTCCCACACACCCACCCCCCTCAGCGACAGCTGCAGCAGTGGGAGACAAGGGAGGAGGAGGAGCAAGGGGAGGAACACATAACCGCCACCCCCACACCCGCCACCCCCACGCTCTGCACCCCACACCCCCAGCACCACGGAATGCACGGGGGGGGGGGGGGGGGGGAACGGGACGGGCTGCAGGTGCGGGCTGCTCCAGGGGCGGCCGCTGTAGGTGCGGGCTGCTCCAGGGGCGGCTGCTGCAGGTGCAGGCTGCTCCAGGGGCGGCTGCTGCAGGTGAGGGCTGCTCCAGGGGCGGCTGCTGCAGGTGCGGGCTGCTCCAGGGGCGGCTGCTGCAGGTGCGGGCTGCTCCAGGGGCGGCTGCTGCAGGGGCGGCTGCTGCAGCGGCGGCTGCTCCAGGGGCGGCTGCTGCTGGGGCGGCTGCTCCAGGGGCTGCTGCTGCAGTGGCGGCTCCAGGGGCGGCTGCTGCAGTGACGGCTGCTCCAGGGGCGGCTGCTGCAGCGGCGGCTGCTCCAGGGGCGGCTGCTGCTGGGGCGGCTGCTCCAGGGGCTGCTGCTGCAGTGGCGGCTCCAGGGGCGGCTGCTGCAGTGACGGCTGCTCCAGGGGCGGCGGCTCTTGGGGCGGCTGCTCCAGGGGCGGCTGCTGCTGGGGCGGCTGCTGCTGGGGTGGCTGCTCCAGGGGCGGCTGCTGTTGCAAGGCAGGCCCGCGCGCTGCTGCAAAGCAGGCACGGGCGCAAGGGAGGCAGAGGCGGCGGCCAGGGGGGGGTGCGCCGCGACGAGCAGGTGACAGGGCCACAAGGGGCGGCAACGGAGCCGCTAGGGGCGGCAACGGGGCCGCGAAGAGCGGCGACGGGGCCGCTAGGGGCGGCAACGGGGCCGCTAAAGGCGGCGACGGTGCCGAGATGGGGCGGCGACAGGGCCGCTAGGGGCGGCGACGGGGCCGCTAGGAGTGGCGACAGGGCCGATAGGGGCGGCGACAGGGCCGCGAAGTGTGGCGACGGGGCCACTGAGGGTAGCGCGAGGGGCCGTGAGAGGAGCAGCGACGGGGCCGCGAAGAGGCCGTGAGGGGCCGAGAAGGGCGGCGTCGGGGCAGGAAGACGCCGCGCGTCCGGGGCGCACGGCGGGCGGAAAACCGCCACGCGCCCCGAGCGCGTGGCGGGAAGAAAAAAGTGTCGCGCGCCACGGGGCGCGCGACAGAAAAGAAAGCAGCGGAAGCACGTGGGGCCCACAGGCCAAGAGCGTAGTCGCTCTGATTCCATGTGAGAGTAGTAGGTAGAGTTAGGTGGGCTTGGGAGCCATAGCTTAGGAGCCTTGGTAGTTAAGTTCGAGGGTGAGGAGAGTGTCGAGAAAATTGTAAAGGAGAATGAGGTGAGTTTCACTAGCAGCAATGAGGATACATATAGCAAACCCTAGATGGGTTGTACTCGCTATAGAGCACCCCACTACAGGCTAGAGAATAACATTCTGACAACACACCCATGCGACACACCCATGCGACACACCCATGTGACACACCCATGAGACACACCCATGAGACACACCCATGCGACACACCCATGCGACACACCCATGCGACACACCCATGCGACCCACCCGTGCAACACACCCATGCGACCCACCCATGCGACACACCTTTGCAACACACCCATGCGACACACCCATGCGACACACCCATGTGACACACCCATGCGACCCACCCATGCGACCCACCCATGCGACACACCCGTGCGACACACCCATGCGACACACCCATGCGACACACCCATGCGGCATACCCATGCGAACCACCCATGCGGCATGCGGCACACCCATGCAACCCACCCATGCGACACTCACTCCTTCATCCCCATGGGGTACGTTCGTCTGGTGAAGACAGGAGGAGCAATGTCAAGCAACCTTGCTGTTTCTTGCTGCTCCCTCTCCCTCGCTCCCTCTCCCATCAACAGCGCCACCAGCAGCACCAGCAGAACCATCACCAGCAGCACCATCACCAGCAGAACCATCACCAGCAGCACCATCACCAGCAGCACCATCACCAGCAGCACCAGCAGAACCATCACCAGTAGCAGCAGCACCACCACTGCCACTGGCAGAAGCCTCCTTGCTTCTCTCCCCCGCACTCCCCCCTTTAAACAACCCCCCACCCCTCAAGCTCCCCCCCCCATGGTAACTCCCCCCTCCGCTGTGGTGGCTTCCCCCTGCTTCCCCCTCTGCATTGCTGTGGCCGCTGCTGCTACGTGCCAGTGGGAAGAGATTGCCCCCATGGTTGGTCCCACCGGGTAGCAACTGGCGAATCTTGTCGTACCCTTCAAACATCTGAGGAGGTGTGAGTGTGAGTGGCGGGAGGAGGTTGATTGGCATACGAACTTGTGGATTAAAATTCAAAAAGAAAACCGAAGAGAAGACAACACACACTGACATATTAGAGTCTATTTAAACTAGGTGCAATTTGGATATGTCAAAGCAAATGACTCTTAATGAGTGCACCACACGGTGATTCAATGAGCATGACTCCAAACGAGCAAACACATTGTAGAAAGGGAGAAATAACTCTAAACAAGTACACGCTGTACCTCAAACAGAATGACTCCAAACGAGTACACATTCACTCTCTTGTCATACTCCTGCTGTGCCAACAACTCGGGTGCAGAATAGAGGCCTGTCGTGCAGTGGCGGGCGGAGGGGGTTGGGAAAAGGATAGAAAAAAATGAGTTTTTTAAGGGGCAGGGACAGGAGAGAGAAGGGAAGGAGGGAAAAATGAGAGAAACAGAGAAAGGAGGAAAGATAAAAGAAAGAAAAAGGAGAGGAGGGAAAAGAAAAGAACAGGAATAGAAAATGAGAAGAAATAGACGACGTATACGTAAATGACTTGCAGGGGGTGGGAGAGGGCGGGAGGAGGGGCCGGGAGGAGATGGGAGGGGATGGTGGGAAGGGCAGGGAGGGGTTGCAAATGGTGAAGGTTGCTTGAAATGGCTGTTTTGAGATGGCTCAACATCGTGAGTCGTCTAACAACAACGGTTTTGGCAATGGCTGGCAAGGGTTGCAAATGATGAAGGTTGCTTACGATGGCTGTGCTTGGAAAAGGTTAGGGGGCGGGAGAAGTTGGGCTGGAAGAGTGAGACAATGTTTGTGCCCCCCATCCCCATGCCTAGGCCCATCCCAATGCCCATCCCTGTGCCCGTGGAGGAACTGGGTGGGGCCGCAGCAGTGGCTCGGATGCTTGCCAGGCCCAAATCCGCCACCTTGAGATGGTCTGAGTCGTCGCGCAGTAGATTGCTGGCAGTGTGGCGGAGAAAGGGGGGAAAGGGGGGAAGGGTGAAAGGGGGGAAGGGGGGAGGGGGAAAAGGGGGGAAGGGGGAAAGGGGGAAAGGGGGGAGGGGGGAAAGGGGGGAAGGGGGAAAGGGGGGAAGGGGGGAGGGGGGAAAGGGGGGAAAGGGGGATGGGGAAGGGGGGAAGGGGGGAAAGGGGAAGGAGATTAACTAGAGGCCTAAATTCGCCAACTTGAGATGGCCTGGGACTCCGCACATGAGATTCCTGCCCGTGGGAAGCCTTGTGGGGAAGAAGGGCATGGGGGGAAAGGAGGCAAGGGAAGGGAGACAGGGGGAGAGGGGGAAAGGCAAGAACAGAGGAAATGGGAAAAGAGGAAAGGGGAAAAGGCAAGAAGAGGGAAGGAGGGAAGTGGAGAAAAGCAGAAGAGGCTACTTTTGGTGTGCCTCCAAAATCGTTCCACCCCCTCACTCACGAGATTTCCCCCCGCACTCACTCACTTCCCCCCATCCTTTCCCCACTCACTTCCCCCCCCATCCTTTCCCCAGTTACGCCCCCCCATCCTTTCCCCACTCACTTCCCCCCATCCTTTCCCCACTCACTTCCCCCCATAGAATACCTGGGGGTCAGGTCGCGGTGAATGACGGGGTCTGGCCGGTGCGCGTGCAGATAGCACATGCCCATGAGGGGTGCGGGCGGATGGGGGAGATGGGGGGGAAGGGGGAGATGGGGGGGAAGGGGGAGATGGGGGGGGTGGGGGAGATGGGTGGGATGGGGGAGACGGGGGGAGATGGGGGAGATGGGGGGGATGGGGGAAATGGGAGGGGAGGAGAGGGGAGGAGCGGAGAGGAGAGATGAGAGGGAAGGAGAGGAGTGCAGAGGAAGGGAGGGTGAATGAACAGGGAGGGAAAAAATGATTGGGCAGGGGGTTGCATGGATGGGGTGTGATGAGGTGAATTTTGAGTCGACTAAAAAAAAGTTGGCACTGGGCAGGGGTTTGCATGGATGGGGTGTGGTGGAGAGAGAAGGGAAAGCATCAGACTGCATGGGAGGCGGCAGAAAGTCAACAACATAGCTCAGTGCATTCGAGTCAACCTAAAACCAAAGAGGTACCTGACAACATCAAGGGCGCACCCACCTGGGAACATGACATGAAAACATAAAGCGAAATGGATTGAAAAAAAAAAAAAAATGGTACGGCGCACCGACCTGGCAACATCAAGGGTGTAGCGCAGTGCTTCGGGGGCAGGCAGAGCGCCCTTCGTGCGAATGACGTCCCTCAGATTCACCTGTGAGAGGTCAGGGGGATGGGCGCATGGGGGGGGGGGACGCATGAGGGGGGCCGGGGGCATTGCTTCGGGGGCCGGCAGAGCGCCCTTCCTGCGAATGACATCCCTCAGATTCACCTGTGAAGGGGGGAGGGGGATGGGAGAGGGGGCGGATGAGGGAGGGGGCGGATGGGGGAGGCGGCGGATGGGGGAGGGGGCGGATGGGGGAGGGGGCAGATGGGGGAGAGGACGGATAGGGGAGGGGCCGGATAGGGGAGGGGGCGGATGGGAGAGAGGGCGGATGGGAGAGGGGGCGAATGGGGGAGGGGGCGAATGGGGGAGGGGGCGAATGGGGCAGGCAGAGCGCCCTTCCTGCGAATGATGTCCCTCAGGCTCACCCGTGAAGTGTGGTTGTGGAGGGCAGGGGGGGGCATGGGGGAGGGGGGGGCATGGGGGAGGGGGGCGCATGGGGGAGGGGGGCGCGTGGGGGAGGGGGGCGCATGGGGGAGGGGGGCGCAAGGGGGAGGGGGGGGCCATCGGAGAGGGGACCAAATCTTGCCAGCCACATGGTGCAAGCCACATTGAGCCAGTGACACTATGCCAAGCAAGCCCACCTCACCTTGAGGTACTCTGTGACGATCATGCGCGGGCGGGACTTGGTGACAGTGAGGTGAGAGAGAGGCACATTGAGCCAGGCATATTGTGCCGGCCAAGCATGAGCACTTAAAGCCAAGCACGCCCACCTCACCTTGAGGTACTCTGTGACAATCATGCGCGGGCGGGCGGGACTTGGTGACAGTGTGGTGAGAGAGAGGCACATTGAGACAGGCATATTGTGTCGGCCGCATTGAGCCAGCGACACTAAGCCAAGCAAACCACCTCACCTTGAGGTACTCTGTGACGATCATGCGCGGGCGGAGCTTGGTGACAGTGTGGTGAGAGGCACATTGTGCCAGGCATTATCCATATTGTGTCGGCCAAGAATGAGCACTTAAAGCCAAGCAAGGCCACCTCACCTTGAGGTACTCTGTGACTATCATGGGCGGGCAGGACTTGGTGACAGTGAGGTGACTGACAGACACAGTGTGGGATGGGATGGGATGGGATGGGATGGGATGGGATGGGATGGGATGGGATGGGATGGGATGGGATGGAATGGGATGGGATGAAGTAGCATGGGTTACCCGGGATGGTTAGTGAGGGGAAGGTACGTGGAGGGCTTATTTCAAGTGGAAAGCAGCAACCGGATGGGATGTCATGATGACGATGTTAATAAATCGCGTGGAACACTGATTATACTTCCTGACGAATTTTACCATTTAAAACAGGGCGTGAAGCAGTGATCTTACATGATGCAAGTGACGGTCATGTAAAAACAGGGCGTAAGGGTTCCATCCATGATAAAAACAGTCAGTTATGTAGGGCACTACACTGAAATGCGCGTTATAAGGGTACATTTTCATCTTGACGTGTCTTCATGTACTTCGCGTCACAAGCATTATTCGTGACTAATTGTGATGCTCCGAAACCCAAACAACCAATCATTTGGCTGGAATGTCACTGTTCATAGTTTCGAAGGATCACAATTAGTCACAAATAATGCTTGTGACGCGAAGTTACGAAGATATCGGACCTCTACCTGAGTTTTTTTAGCGCGCCACTCCGACTTTTGGAACTGAGTCGCATAAACACTGTCAAGGTTGCTACGATCAGAAGTTGATTGTAACCAGGATCACCTCAGGAAGGTTCGCACACAACTAGGTAATGGTGGTGGTGGGCCCTTTGACCTCAAATCAGAGTGAATGTAAAATGATTGAGATGAATTAAAACATGCAAATACAACCATATAAATAAGAGTACAAGGTGGAATACAAAACGGCCTAGCTAGCCATGTACTCTAAGGGGTAATTCCCTTATTGCAGCAAAACCCAACCGTGCGACTCCAGACGGTTACGAACTACTCGGGCAGAATCCTCGCCACTGCTGCTGCCTGATGCTGTCTGCCCTGACGGTCCAGATGCTTCGTAACCGTGCGACCCTTCGCGTCACTTCCGCCTTTTCATCTTCAGCCTCGGTACTGCATACTTCGATTGCTGCTGTCAGGAGTGCACAATAACACTTCATCTTTTACTATTCGTAACACCCCCATTCACTCCTGGCCGTAGCAGGTCTTGACCCGCTTGACTACTCCGCTGAGTTCGGAGCAGTGCTGGTACTGCTGACGTGACAGTCGCTTCGTGAGGAAGTCAGCTGCCATGTCACCCATCGGGCAGTAGGTTAGGTCAACCATGCCCTTGTCAACTTCGTCCTTGACGAAGAAGTACCGCAGCGCAATGTGTTTGGTGCGGTTGACGAATCCAGGCTTGTTCGTGATCCTGATCGCGCTCTGGTTGTTGCAGTGCAGGCGAAAGGTGGACGAAGATGGAATTTTCGCCTCCTGTAGGAGCTCTTGTAGGTAAAGCCCCTCGCGAACTGCTGCTGTTGTGGCAATAAACTCTGCTTCCGCTGATGATAGGGCAACCAGCTCCTGTTTCTGCGAATTCCAGGAGATGGGTCCTGTTGGCTCGAGGCGGAACAGGAACCCTGTTCTGGACCGTCGATTGTCGGGGTCAGCAGCGTGATCAGCGTCCACGTAGCCGATGAGGCTGAAGGAGGTGGTTGGGACTGTGGAATAGATCCCGCCCCCTCTCCATCCTTTGCTCCTCCACTTCTTTCACACCAGATGCGTCTCTCTCTCTGGAGGACTCGAAGCATGTGTTGGGGGTGGTAGCAGGGAGCAAGTGCATGCATGTCTCGGCGTACTTGCCCAATGCGTTCCACCCTTGATTGCCCACCTCATTTTTTAATATCCCTTATTCTCACTCATGCAGACGCCTCTCTCTCTCTGGAGGACGCGAAGCATCTGCAGGGCGTGGCAACGGGGAGCATTCAGACGAGCATCGTCCCCACTGCTGCTGGCATTGCGGGTACGTGTATGTATGTGTGGGTGGGTGTGGGCGGATGTGGGTGGGTGTGTGATGGAGTGGTAGCGGGGAGCATTCGGACGAGCATCATCCCGACTGCTGCTGGCATTGCGGGTACGTATGTGTGTGTGTGGGTGGGTGTGGGCGGATGTTGGTGGGTGTGTGCGGGTGGGTGGGTGTGTGATTGAGTGGTAGCGGGGAGCATTGAGACGAGCATCATCCCCACTGCTGCTGGCATTGCGGGTACGTGTATGTATGTGTGGGTGGGTGTGGGCGGATGTGGGTGGGTGTGTGATTGAGTGGTAGCGGGGAGCATTCAGACGAGCATCATCCCGACTGCTGCTGGCATTGCGGGTACGTGTGTGTGTGTATGTGGGTGGGTGTGGGCGGATGTGGGTGGGTGTGTGCGGGTGGGTGGGTGTGTGATTGAGTGGTAGCGGGGAGCATTCAGACGAGCATCATTCCCACCGCTGCTCGCACTGCAGTGGGGTGTGTGTGTGTGGGGTGTGTGTGAGTGGGGTGTGTGTGTGTGTGTGTGTGTGTGTGTGTGTGTGTGTGTGTGTGTCTGTGTCTGTGTCTGTGTCTGTGTCTGTGTCTGTGTCTCTGTGTCTGTGTCTCTGTGTGTGTGTGTGTGTGTGTGTGTGTGTGTGTGTGTGTGTGTGTGTGTGTGTGTGTGTGTGTGTGTGTGTGTGTGTGTGTGTGTGTGTGTGTGTGTGTGTGTGTGTGTGTGTGTGTGTGTGTGTGTGTGTGTGTGTGTGTGTGTGTGTGTGTGTGTGTGTGTGTGTGTGTGTGTGTGTGTGTGTGTGTGTGTGTGTGTGTGTGTGTGTGTGTGTGTGTGTGTGTGTGTGTGTGTGTGTGTGTGTGTGTGTGTGTGTGTGTGTGTGTGTGTGTGTGTGTGTGTGTGTGTGTGTGTGTGTGTGTGTGTGTGTGTGTGTGTGTGTGTGTGTGTGTGTGTGTGTGTGTGTGTGTGTGTGTGTGTGTGTGTGTGTGTGTGTGTGTGTGTGTGTGTGTGTGTGTGTGTGTGTGTGTGTGTGTGTGTGTGTGTGTGTGTGTGTGTGTGTGTGTGTGTGTGTGTGTGTGTGTGTGTGTGTGTGTGTGTGTGTGTGTGTGTGTGTGTGTGTGTGTGTGTGTGTGTGTGTGTGTGTGTGTGTGTGTGTGTGTGTGTGTGTGTGTGTGTGTGTGTGTGTGTGTGTGTGTGTGTGTGTGTGTGTGTGTGTGTGTGTGTGTGTGTGTGTCTGTGTCTGTGTCTGTGTCTGTGTCTGTGTCTGTGTCTGTGTCTGTGTCTGTGTCTGTGTCTGTGTCTGTGTCTGTGTCTGTGTCTGTGTCTGTGTCTGTGTCTGTGTCTGTGTCTGTGTCTGTGTCTGTGTCTGTCTGTGTCTGTGTCTGTGTCTGTGTCTGTGTCTGTGTCTGTGTCTGTGTCTGTGTCTATGTCTGTGTCTGTGTCTGTGTCTGTGTCTGTGCCTGTGTCTGTGCCTGTGTCTGTGTCTGTGTCTGTGTCTGTGTCTGTGTCTGTGTCTGTGTTTGCTCATGCCTTCGCTCACACTTGTGCCTTTTGTGCCACCCTCGCTTGCTTGTTCCATTGCACTCGTAATACTTTGTATTAGTGCCCCTTTCATTCAAACAGACGGTTCAATCATGGAATATTATTAATATGAATGATGTTTCCGAAGCCAACTAAATCACGTTGGTATTCGCAAAGATTCAATATGTCATCTCAAAACTACAGGGACCCGCTATGGACTAGTTACGTAATATTTTTACAACACCAAGCAAATAGGAGCCAATATTATCACGGAAGGATGCTATAGGCATGTCTATCCTTAGGCAACCTCATTCTGCAAAGTATCCCAGTACCGCACGCGGGATGTGTAGGTCTGCGCAAGGGATTCGAGTCAATCGCTGCATCGATTTCACCACGCAAAGCTGTAAACTTGGTGATATCTTGAGTTTGTCTAGAACTATCCAAGCATATTTTAGGCGTTGTGCGAGCATATCGACTACATGCATAAAGCGGGGCAAGTAGATCACTACGTCGGAATTAGGAAGCTGGAAAATGTGCAAGAAAAGTTGTTGTGCCGCGTCACCAGCTTCAACGCCATTCTAGCAATGTCTGAAAAGTTGAATCTGCTACGACTCTTGAGGCCAAGGCCCTTTCATAATCAGAACCAAACTCATGAGGTGCTATGGTTTGAGCCATAGTGCGATCTGCAGAAGGAACACGGGAGGCAAGAGAATGCAAGTAGCTAGTAGCAAACTTGCCCACTCCTGAAAATACTCGCATATGATTCGACCTTACCAACCCTCACAAGGTGACTCGGTCGATTCATGGTGTTGGCCACATTCATCTATATATGGAGTGTATATCAGCTGAAAGTCCAACACTATTTGGTGGAGAATGCATGCAGTGATAGTGAAGCGTTTGCCATGATGAATCGTGCCGTAGCGGCTAGAGCTGATGTGTACGTCGTTGACGTATAGGAATTTCTTTATTAACATTCCTAATGATCTAACCATACCTCTGAAATGATATATGAGCATCTTTTCCGATAGCTTAGCTGAGGGACCACACGACCACAACATTCAAATGGAACCAGGGGTGCTACTGATTGCACAGTGATAATTTCGACTTTGGCAATGGACTTGACAAACTGAATTCGTGAGCCTCTGTGTCCAATTCTTCTCGACCGACAAAGACTCATCAGGAAAAGGACCCGCGTTTGACAGCTTGCGTTTCTCCCATTTTGAGGATATGTTTATTGAGACATTGACAATGACTATAATGAAACAAAATAAGGTGAACCTGGCCAAGGCCAAGCTGGACCACCTGAGGGAACTGAATATGTCGCATATTTCCAGAATTTTAAATATGTGCGTAACATAAAAACAACAAATCAACCAGAATGGTGTAAAATAACTACATTTAGATGGAGGATAATTATTGAATAGGCAGGTAATTGATTTAGGGTTTGAATGTTGTGGGCATGTAATTTTGTTTCACTCCGGTTTGATTGAGGTAGTTCTTGTCTTGCCCCTTGTTTAAATTACATTGTACAAACTTTGAAGTCAATTTTTTGTGTGCAAAATTTGTCCTACACTATAAGAAATTTCATAATCCCTCCTGAGGACCAGTCTCGGTCCGATGACCTCTCCTCCCGAAGCTACCCCGCGTCGCTCCTATACCAGCACCCAACTTCACCTTCCTATGTCCCTCATTATATCTTTGCTAGGCTTCGCATCATTGCAAGTACTGATAGTTGTAATGATTTCTCCGATATAGACTTTCGCTCACTCTTTTCATTGTACGACTCATAACTTACATAAATCTTTGTAACTCCTACCAAATCTTGTTCTTTGTGAACCATGGAATTACATTTACCCCAGTTTTTGCGCATAGAAATTGGACACACTGCTTTGTTAAACACCCTAGTCTATGCTTCCGATCCCCCTATATTCCACACCCCGTTTGAACGCAGTAAAAGGAATCAAAATTTTCGCTTTCAATTATGGGGGTGGTTTGTGGCGGGTGCCCCACGTGCTGGCGATTTTTTTGGCGGGGATCGCTTACGCGTTACACCTCTTCGCAATCGCCGGAAACGCGCAAAGGGCGGAAATCTGGTTTGGTCGTTACAATTGTCATAATGTTATATTGTCTAGTCTGCAGTGGGGTACTCAGTAGTGAGTACAGCCCTGTTAGGGTTTCCTATTTGTATCCCCTCTGCCTGCTAGTGCAAAACCCCCTTCTTCCATTTCTCCTTCCTAAAACCTAAGCCCTAACTTGGCTTAGGATTATAACATGCTATCAGAGCATCTACGCTCCTGGCCTGTGGGCCCACCTGCTTCCGCTGCTGTACTGTCTGTCGCGCGCCCCGTGGCGCGCGACGTTTTTTCTTCCCGCCACGCGCTCGGAAAACCGCCACGCGCCCGCCGCGCACCCCGGGCGCGCGCGGCGGTTTTCTGCTCGGCGCGTCGCCCCACCGGGACCCGCGCGCTGCCCCGCTGGACCCGCGCGACGCCCTGCGAGACCCGCGCGCCGCCCCCGCTGGACCCGTGCGACGCCCTGCGAGGCTCGCGCGCTGCCCCGCTGGACCCGCGCGACGCCCTGCGGGACCCGCGCGCCGCCCATGGGGACCCGCGCGCCGCCCCTCCTGGACCCCTCTGCTCGCCCGCGCCCTGCACGTCGCGACGCCGCTCGCCCTCCCCCCTCCTCCTTCGACTCCCTGCTGCGCATGCAGCCGTGTGGAGGGTATGGGGGTGGCGGGGGTAAGGGGGGGTATGGGGGTGGTGGGAGTGCGTGACCAGCTGCCCCTCCTCCTCCTCTCTCTCCCACTGCTGCAGCTGCCGCTGAGGGGGGGATGGAGTGGGTGAGGTTGGGGAGTGGCGTTAGCCGGGGGGGGATGTGAGAAAAGGGTTTGGGGGCAATGGGGGGAGGTTGGAAGGAGGTAGCCGCTGTGTCGCCTGCTGCTCCAGTAGTCCGGGGCCCTTGCTCCGGTAGCACGTGAGCCCGTTGCTCCAGTCGCCCGTGGGTCCGTTGCTCCAACCGCTCGTCTAGCCACGGAGCCAATTGCTCCAGTAGTCCGGGGCCCTTGCTCCGGTAGCCAGTGTGCCAGTTGCTCCGTTGCCCGTGTGTCAGCAGCTTCACCTGCCGCCTCCCAACTCCTCTCCTCTCGTAGTCCCTCCTCCTCACTGCCCCTCTGCTATGTCTGCCACTAGGGCTAATTTGTGAACTTGCTCTATGACTGCTTGTTGTGCTGATTATACCCCACTTTGCCTATGGGGGTGTGTCAGAATGTTATATTGTCTAGTCTGCAGTGGGGTACTCAGTAGTGAGTACAGCCCTGTTAGGGTTTCCTATTTGTATCCCCTCTGCCTGCTAGTGCAAAACCCCCTTCTTCCATTTCTCCTTCCTAAAACCTAAGCCCTAACTTGGCTTAGGATGATAACAACAATTTTACACGCCCTTAACTGGCCGCGGTGCAAACAACACTACGCATGTGTTTTCCAGTAGTAACATGGCCTTGCGACGCTTTTAGGTTGTTAAATTATGACATGATTGGGGCGTGTAAATATCGGATACTATACAATATACAATATTGCGGTGCCGAAGCACATCGATGGGCGACACGATATGGCGATGTGGGTTGAGTCAATCGAACCACAACATGAAATCGCTCAACTGAAGCGACTTGTCAACGGATCAAAGTAGGTCTCCTTTACAGAATGGCATTTATCAATACGCGCAATTTTGAAAGTAGTGGTTATCACTAGGAGATAAACTGACTATATAAAGTTACAAGGAAATACTAGGAGAACATTTCATTGTTTTTTTACTCTAAATTGCAGTAGCTAGATGCATTACTAGTAACTGCCATACGTTCTTGCCCATTAGTGTTGCTCATGAATTTATAGCCAGCAGCTAAAATAGTGAAGGCATATCCAACTTGAAAGAGTGTTGCGACAAGCTTCTCAAACAAGAGAAGTTTGGGCTGATAGAGCACTGTTTCCGAAAACACATTTGGTTGGATAGAACTGATGTGATTGGCTTACGCGAGAAAGGAATTTTTGTTTTCCGCCAAAAGAGTTTTTTTGGCTCATGTCAGCCATCGCATCTTTACGTGCTGCACCAGTCGCATGTCTAGGTGCTACACCCGCATGACAGTTGCAAAGCGAGTGTCGCAGTCGCCAGGCCCAACTTCAACTTCAAGCTGGAACCGGGTTCATAGCTCTCTGTTTTTTACTCTCCTGGTCACTAGATTCTTTGCCGAGCTAACGCTAGCTGAAATCCTAGTCGATAGTGTTCATAGGTGGGCAATTAACGATCCCTGGCTAGTAGCGGCATGCTTTTTTTCCCGTCGCAGACAATCTTCAATCCTCCGTCATCGTCGGTCCCTCTCGCTCCTCCCTCGCCGCGTCACTCTCTGTCGTCACATATGCCCTCCCTCCTCTCTATTGTGTTCGCCCCGAATCGTCCTCCGATCGCCTCTCCTCTCTCCATTTCTATTGCCTACCTCTTCAATTCCGTGCACGCCTTGGATCGCCCTCCCATCGCCAATCCTCTCTCCCTACCCATTACCCAGCTCGTCCCCTCCCGCAATCCTCCCCCCCATCCCGTCGCCTCGTTATCTCCCCACGCTGGCCGTCGCCCTCGCTATCTCCCCCCACTCCCTGTCGTGCTCGCTATTCCCCCTCTTCTCTCCGTCGCCCTCGCTATTTCCCCTCCTTTTTCTCGTCGCCTTGCTATCTCCCCTCCACTACCCGTCGAGCTCGCTATCTCCCCCCCTCTCCTCATCAAGCTCGCTGTCTATCTCCCCCCCTCTCCTCCTCGTGCTCGCTGTCTCCCCTCGTCTCCCCGTCGAGCTCGCTATCTCCCCCCCTCTCCTCGTCGTGTTCGCTGTCTCCCCTCGTCTCCCCGTCGAGCTCGATGTCTCCCCTCCTCTCCTCCTCGCGCTCGCTGTCTCCCCTGGTCTCCCCGTCCAGCTCGCTGGCTCCCCCCCTCTCCTCGTCGTGTTCGCTGTCTCCCCTCGTCTCCCAGTCAAGCTCGATGTCTCCCCTCCTCTCCTCGGCGCGCTCGCTGTCTCCCATGGTCTCCCCGTCCAGCTCCCTGGCTCCCCCCCTCTCCTCGTCGCGCTTGCTGTCTCCCCTCGTCTCCCCGTCGAGCTCGTTGTCTCCCCTCCTCTCCTCGTCGCGCTCGATGTCTCCCCTCGTCTCCCCGTCGAGCTCGCTGACTCCCCTCCTCTCCTCGTCGTGCTCGCTGTCTCCCCTCATCTCCCCGTCGAGCTCGCTGACTCCCCACCTCTCCTCGTCGCGCTTGCTGTCTCCCCTCGTCTCCCCGTCGAGCTCGCTGTCCTCCCCCCTCTCCTCCTCGCGCTTGCTGTCTCCCCTCGTCTCCCCGTTGAGCTCGTTGTCTCCCCCCCTCTCCCCTTCGTGCTCGCTGTCTCCCCTCGTCTCCCCGTCGAGCTCGCTGTCTCCCCCCCTCTCCTCCTCGCGCTCGGTGTCTCCCCTCGTCTCCCCGTCGAGCTCGCTGTCTCCCCCCCTCTCCTCGCCGCGCTCGCTGTCTCCCCTCCTCTCCCTGTCGCCCTTGCTGCCTCCCCCCCTTCTCCTTGTCGCGCTCGCTATCTCCCTCGCGATCTCGTGGTGATCCCTTATTTCCTGTCGCCTTTGCGATCCCCTCCCGTTGCCGTCGCCTGCGTTCTCCCCTCCTTGTACAGTAAATTGCTCTCGCGATACCCCCTACCTTCCCGTTGCGTCGTTGTCTCCCCACTCCTGTCGCCCTCGCTGTCTCCCTCACGATCTCCCCTCCTCTCCTACGCCTTTTCTCTGACGCTCCCGTTGCCGCCGTCTCGCTCCTCTCTCCCCGCGCCTCTCATCCTTCCGCCGCTGTCGCCCTCCCTCTCCCTTCGTCACTCTGTTCGTCACTCCCGCGCTCTTGCATCGGGTCAACCTGAACACACTTTCTTTCTAACACCATCATCACCATACCATATGGCCCCGGTTGTAAGCGCAAGTGCGCTTATAATAAAATGTGTTTTTTTAGGGGGTTGCGCTTATCATTGAGTGAACGTTATAAGCGCATGTGCTTATATAATGACAAATACAGAAATACATGTCAGCAGAATAAACGAGAATGAATTGACTAACAGCAGGATGGGTACAAGTACTAACCCTAATTGGGTTGTACCCCATATGGGCTACCCCACTATAGCCTACACAAGATATAGCATATAAGTTTGACACACCCCCATAGGCAAAGTGGGGGAGAACAAGAGGTCACAAGACCAGTCAAGAAAAGCAAAGCAAGCTCAGGGTGGATCACGAAGTCACCACGCATTCTGAGCACAAGCAAATGGCCACAAGGCCAGTTCACATGCAGAGTTGTATAAAGGAGAACAAGCAATACAGTGATCACAACCTAGCAAGTGTAAGCATGCAGGTATATGTATAGAGATCACAGTACAAGCAAAGTCAAGAAGTGAGCAAGTGAGGCCAAGTAGGCACAAGGCCTAGAACAGTACAGAAACGCTAATGATCACAAGGCTGAAGTGCCTTGGTGAAGATATCAGCAGTGTTGGCCCGAGTGGCCACGTAAGCAAGACGAAGCTGACCACGCTGCTGCAACTCTCGAGCAAGGAAGTAGCGCAGAGCGATGTGCTTCGTTCTGTGCTCCAGTCTGTGCTCCTGACACAAGGCAATCATGGCCTTGTTGTCGACGTACAGAACTGGAGGAGAACCAGGCGGCTCTCCCAAGTCGGTCAGCAGGTAGGTGAGCCAGCGTAACTCCTGTGCAGCCATGGCCCTTGCGTAGATCTCAGCCTCACAACTGGAACTGAGAACAGAAGACGAGCGGGTAGACCGCCACGAAACAGAGCCGGAGCCAAGGCTGAAAGTGTAACCCTGTGACGACTGCTGCGTAGCCAAGTCGTCAACCCAGGAAGCGTCTGCGTGACCAGTGAGGACAACTCGAGCCCGTCCTCCAAGCACGAGCCCCATGCCCGACGTACTGCACAAGTAGCGCAACACCATCCTCTGGTCGGTGTCTCCCAGGAGCAACATAGCGTGCCAGGATGCTAAGAGGGTAGGCAAGGTCAGGTCGAGTGCAGGTCATCAGGTACATGAGGCAGCCCACAAGCTTTGGATACGGGCCACTCGGCTCTACGGACTCATCCGAAGGAAGAGCTGAGAGCGAGTGGCGAGTAGGCAGAGGAGTGGACTGTGGCGAGGAGTACGTGAAGCGGAAGCGCTGAAGGACCTGCTGCACCATGTGTGACTGAGTCAAGGTAATGGTGCGCTGTGCTCAGTCCCGGGTGACCTGCAAGCCAAGATAGCTGCGCAGCTCACCCAGGTCTGTGCACGTGTCTCTCTTCTGCATCTCCGACTTCACAAAGGCGAGTCCCGCAGTGTCAGCAGTGGCAAAGACCAAGTCGTCGACGTACACGAGGATGTAGAACGGTGGCAGAGAGGTGTCGGTGCGTAGAAACAGCGACGGGTCAGCAGTGGAAGGAGCAAACCCAAGAGCCGCAAGCGTCGTCCTTAGAGTGTCGTGCCACTCGCGAGGCGCCTGGCGGAGACCGTAGACTGGCCGCCGGAGGCTCCACTGGGTACCAGTAGGAAACGACCCAGTGAAGCCAGGTGGGCGGCGCAGCCAGATCTCCTCGTGCAGGCTGCCCTGTAGGAAGGTTGTGCTGAAGTCAAGAAAGTGAAGCTCGTAGTCACGCTGAGCGGCGACGTGCAGCAGCACCCGAAGAGTGGTCATCTTCGGGGTAGGGGAGAAGGTCTGAAAGAAGTCAACTCCCTGTCGCTGACTGAAGCCTCGTGCAACGTAACGAGCCTTGAAGACAGGCTGAGAACCCGGCGGCCGCTTCACCCTGAAAATCCACATGCCACTGACGATGATCGCCCCAGGTGGGGGAACCTCGTCGACGTAGGTGCCTGTGGACTTCTAGGAAGCCATCTCTGCGTCCATGGCTGTCTGCCACTGAGAGGAGTAGGGACCCTCTATTGCCTCTACGTAAGAGCGCGGGGTCGGGATGTCTGGTGCATCCGGGTCTCCCTCAGGTGCAATCAGCATGGACACGAGATGAGGTAAAGTAGCTGCAAAACACTCAAACTCCTCCTGCCTGTCCTCAAGGACGTCCGTGGCAAGAGCACACTCACCCCCGACGGACGGAGGACAGACAGACTCAGACTTAGCAACAAGACTAGCGGCGTAGTCTAGACGACAGGCGGCAGCAAAGTCAACAAGCTCAGCAACGAGGGCAGACGCAGCAGTTGACTCAAACGAAGGGTCAGTGACAACAGTAGCGAGAAGACGAGTGACAGTAGGACTGGCAGCACGAGAAAGGTCTGACGGCGGGTCAGCAACGTCAGGAAGAGAGGACGTAGGAGGAGACGGCAGAGGGACACGATGTGGAACAGAGGAAGGACGAAGTGCCATCTGGTGTGTGCCTGGGACAGGAGAAGGACGCGGACGTGGAACACAACGACCAGTGCGAACAGTGCGAAGAGGCGACGCAGGACGAGACTCAGGCTCACGACGCTCCGCAAGACCTCCGGTCGGCCCAGTGTAAGGAGAAGGACCAGGCAGTGGGGAGGCTGGCTGTAACTGCGACTGTGACTGATCAGGCGGTGGACACAGTAAGGGAGGAGTAGGGCCAGTAGAAGGCGGGAGACCAAGAACCTGCTGAAGCAGTGGAACGAAGTACGGCCGCGGTCGCGCAGCGCCTCCAGAACCAGCACCGACAGCACTAGCACCCCCAGGGCTAGTACCTCCAGCTCCAGGGTCTCCAGCTCCAACTCCAGCAGCACCACCCGCTCCAGCTCCAGTGCCTCCGGCTCCAACGCCTGCAGCACCTCTAGCTCCAGCAGCTCCAGTACCTCTAGCAGCTCCAGCTCCAGCTCCTCCAGTTCCAACGCCTGCAGCACCTCCAGCTCCAGCAGCTCCAGTACCTCAAGTACGAGCACCTCCGGGACCAGCAGCTCCAGTACCTCCAGCAGCTGCAGCTCCAGCTCGAGCAGCTCCAGTACCTCCAGTACGAGCACCTCCGGGACCAGCGGCTCCAGCACCTCCAGCAGCTCCAGCTCCAGCAGCTCCAGCACCTGCAGCACCACCAGGTCCAGCAGCTCCAGTACCTCCAGTACGAGCACCTCCGGGACCAGCAGCTCCAGTACCTCCAGCACCTCCAGGACCAGCAGGTCCAAGGCCTACAGCCCCATGGCCTCCAGCGGAAGGCCCCCCAGCTCCAGCAGCGGCTCACTGAAGACTCCAACGCTGAGCAAACCACTCGCGCAGGTGCGGTGGAGAGAGAGGCTCCCGGCGGGACGAGGCACCCGGAGAACCTCCAGTACCTCCAGCACCTCCAAGACCAGCAGGTCCAAGGCCTACAGCTCCAGGGCCTCCAGCGGAAGGCCCCCCAGCTCTAGCAGCGGCTTGCTGAAGACTCCAACGCTGTGAAAACCACTCGCGCAGCTGCGGTGGAGAGAGAGGCTCCCGCCGGGACGAGGCCCCCGGAGAACCTCCAGTACCTCCAGCACCGACAGGACCAGCAGCTCCAGCACCCCCGGTCCCTCCAGCTCCAGCACCTCCAGCTCCAGGGTCTCCAGCGGCAGGCCCCCCAGCTCTAGCAACGTCACGCTGAAGGCTCCATCGCCGAGCAAACCACTCGCGCAGCTGCGGTGGAGAGAGAGTCTCCCGCCATGACGAGGCACCCGAAGAACCTCTAGTAGACAAAGTACCCCCAGGCGCAGCACGCTCAGACTCAGCACCCCCAAGCTCAGCACCCCCAGGCTCCGCACGCTCAGGCTCAGTACCCCCAAGCTCAGCACCCCAAGGCTCCACACGCTCAGGCTCAGCACCCCCAGGCTCCGCACCCTCAGACTCAGCAACCCCAGGCTCAGCACCCCCAGGCTCCGCACCCTCAGGCTCAGCACCCCCCGGCTCCACACGCTCAGGCTCAGCACCCCCAGTCGCAGCACCCCTAGCAGCACCAGAGTCAACAGCTACCTCGACAGGCTCGATAGGGTCTACCTAAGACACACCTGAGGGAGCAGGACCCTGAGGGGGGAGGGGGTCTACCGGAGGAGGACCTGGTGCGAGGAAGAGCGGCGGGGGGGGGGAGAGGGGTAGTGCGGTAGGGGAAGAGCCGGTAAAAGGGAACCGACTCGTCGAACGTGACGTCCTGAGAGGGCAGGACACGGCGCGAGGTGGGGTGGTAAAATTGCCAGCCAGGCGCGTCAGGGGGAAAACCAAGGAAGACACAGGGAATGGCGCGGGCTGAGAGCTTGTCCGCGGACTTATCGCGGACAAAGGCACGAGATCCCCAGACCCGGAACACCGACGCGTCGCCAACCTCTCCCGTCCAACGCAGTGTCGGCGAGGTCTCCGGCAAGAAGACACGGGGCCAGAGGTTGAGCTGTTGCGCAGCGTATCGAACCGCAAACGGCCACAGAAAATGGGGGGCAGCCGCATGGATCATGGAGGTACGAGCGACCTCCATGACTAAGCCAATGCGGCGCTCAGCAACCCCATTCTGCTGCGGAGAGGCCGGAAGCGTGAACGTCTGGCGAACGCCCTCCCCACGACAAAAATCCCGCAGAAGGTCGGAGGCAAACTCACCACCTCTGTCAGAGTGCAGACGCAGGACTGGAAGGTCCGTCTCGAACCGCTCGCGGAGCTGGAGACGAACATCGTGGATCCAAGGGATCAAAACATCAGAGACCTCCCCCTTGGTGCGCAAGGGGAAGACCGTGGTGTAACGCGTGTAGTCGTCAACAACCAGCAGAAAGTACCGCTCGCGGCCCTGTCCACGGACGTGGGCTGGGCCCCACACGTCCATGTGGAGAGTCTGCAGGGGAGCAGTTGTCGGGGGAAACTCAGAGGAGTGGGGAGCAGCGCGCTGCCGCCCCTCGACACAGGGAAGACAGGGAGGAGCAGGCGAGGGTGGGAGGGGAGGCAGAGTCTAGGGAAGACTAGAGACAAGGACACGGGAGTGCATGCCACGGAGGCGCTGCGCTGAGGGGTGACCAAGACGGTGGTGCCAAAGGAGGGCCTGGTGCGACAGAGCGCGACATGAGCAGGGGGCCGACAGCTGACCTGACGCAGACGCAGACGCAGCTACCTGAGGAGACACAGTAGTCAGTGTGTCACCTGCGAAATTCTTTTGCCCCATCACTCTGCCACACCTTCAGTTTCCTCCCCGATTGTCGCTGCGCGTGCGCGAGGAAGATGCGGAACACCTCCGGAGCCTTGGAGCGGGCGTCTACGTTGGCGATCCACACGTGGCGTGAGTAGGCGTCGATGAAGGTTAGAGTATATTTTTCGCCGTTGATGCCGTCGTGGGTGAGTACAATGAAATCGCTGTATACCTTCAACTTTTTGTAGCGATTGGTGCTCGGCTCCAGGGAGGGGTAGGCGCTGTGGGTGAGCGCAGCAGTGGGGCAGACAGTGCAGGTGACTGGGTGAGGGGTGGTGTGCTGTAGTTCTGTTCCGTCGGGGCGGAGCAGTGCTCCTGGTGGGAAGACTTTAGCGCGGAGGCAGTTGCGAGTGTCTGGCGCGAGGGATGACCCATGCGCTGGTGCCAGATGTCATCTTCGGCGCGAATGCCGGAGGTGCGCTTGTAGCGGGTGTGGTACTCCGCTGCCTCTTCCGCCGTGAATTCTGGAATCTGGAGTGGGGGTTCTTCCTCTTCTCCTGGTTCTGCTTCGTTGTCTGGCTCCTCTGCTTCTCCTTCTGCCGTTGCCTCCCCTTCTGCAGGTGCCGTTGTGAGATACAGGGCGAGGAATTCGCGGTCAGGGATGATGGTGAGCGGGGTCGTGGTACCTTCGATGAGGCGAGCAAACGGATCTGGGCGAGAGATTGGACCAAGCGAATCCCGTAGAGGAGTTGGCGGTACGTTCCCCTCCTCAATCTCCGACCAACGATCGCGCCATCGAGGAGGCGAGGAAGGAGGTGAGCGGGTGCGCGGAGGACGACCGAGTGGAATGGCGACGCGAGGGGATGGTTCTCCACGCTCAGCTTGCATTTCACGTTCCATCTCTTCTTCGTCTTCCTTTGTGATAAGCGCATCCACGTATTCATTTCCCCATCCGTCATCGTTGCCCCATCCTCCGGTTGTGACTGCGCCGCTGGCGCTAGCTCCCCATGCTCCAGTGGCGGATCCCCAGGTTGCTCCATCGCCTTCTTCTGGTACGTAATCCTCTTCTCCCCATGCACCACGACGTGCAGACTCTTCGTCCCATCCTGCCGCGACTCGCTCCTCATACAACTTTTGTTTCTTTTCCGCCCGGGCCTTGTCCTGTTCTTCTTTGACGCTCAGTTCTTCTGGTGCGTCAGGATCTTTCCAAGCTGGATCAATTTCGCGACGGTAGACCTCGCGGGTGTACGGGCGCGGACGTTCTTCTTCGTTGAGGGTGCGCGCGTTGGCTTCGAGGACGAACCGTAGGGTGTCCGAGTAAGGCCTTGGTCTTTCCTCTTGTTCTTGTCCAAATTTCTTGCTCGGCTCTCCGAAGATGCCGTGTGATGACACGGCTAGTTCTTCTTCAGTCATGCCTGCGATTTCTGCCTCGGCGCTTTCTGCTTCCTGAATTGCCGCTTGCTCTCTTTCAGCTTGCTCCGTGCGGCTCGCGGTGGGCGTGTGGCAGGTGGTGCAAAGACCGTTGATATCAGGGTCGTGCAGGTTGATCTCGCGGGGATGAGGACTGCGGCGAACCCAAGGTCGTCCGTCCGGGTGCTCCCAGGATTCCTTGTTCATGAAGGCAAACTCGAGAGGGACGAGATCCACGAGCTCGTCCGAAGATGCCTGACAGGGAGGGACGTCGAAGTCCAAGATGTAGATTCCGTTGATTGAGCGGGCTCGTCCGAGGTATTTGAACGACTCGGAGGGTGTGTCCGGGGGAGCGTAGGTGAGAATGAGGTCGCGCGTGGCAAGATCCGTGTGTATTATGACGCCACAGTCGCGGAGTTGTCCAGCCGAAAGCAGATTAAAGCGAAGATTCGGGACGTAGAGCACGTCGTTGAAGGAGATATGAGTGTTGCTGTCCTGTGCCTGCAGGACGACAATGCCTTGTGAGTTGGCGCGCAGCTGCTCGTTGTTGGCGACGGTAACGTAGGTTGGGGGGGCGCGGCTGAGGTTCGAGACATAGCGCGTGGATCCCACCATGTGTTGTCCGCAGCAGCTGTCCAGGTACCAGGTGTTGTAGTTGTCGGTGTTGTTTCGGCGCAGAAGGAGCGCCAATCGAGGAGTCACTAGAGTCGCCTTGTAGCGCCTGTGAAAGTGAGGGTCTTCGTCCTCCTTCCATCCCACCGGTACGTAGTGCTGGTTGTCGTGAGGCGGACTCTCCCGCAGTGTGATCGGCAGGTTCCAATCCTGCTCGTCTTCATCGTACCGATAATAGTGATCTTCAGTGAGGGGATTATTCCATCCCTCTTCTGGTTCCAGAAGTCTTCCTTGGACTTCGTCCTCTTCGTCGGGCTCATCAGTGCGACGTCGGCGCGTCGTCATGTTGGCGATGATGTTCCTGGGAGCTCTTGACTGGGGTCCCTGAGTTTGCTGATGTTGATGTTGCTGTTGAGCAGGGAGACGAGGTGTCTGATGCTGAGGGTGACGAGCATCTTGTCGGCCGACCCAATTGTTTTGGTGAGTGGAATTTGGGTGGCGATTGTTGGATCGGGACTTGCATCGATCCGTTGAATGTCCGAAGACTTTGCATATTTTGCAATAGTGGCGCCTTGGTTGTCGTCGCTCTTCACGGTTGTCAGCGTAGAAGGCGAGGCGCTCTCGGCGCGGCGCGGAGCTTGTTCTGCTCGAGTCCATGTCCTGTTGTTCGGACAGGAGTGCGGCGCATAGCGCGGCTTCTGAAATTATCCCTCGCTGTCGGAGTAGCGCTTTACAGGGCTTCCACTCTGGCCCGAGTCCTTGGAGGACTATGTTGACGAAGATCTCTTCTGAGATCGTACTCCCATGGTTCGTGATCTGGTCACGGATGTTGCGACAGCGGTTAATGTACGGATTCGCTTTCTCCCCGTGCCCCATTTTTATCTCCAGGAGTTGCTGCAGAAGCCTGCTGGTGGTGACCGAATCCTTCGGCTGATAGACTTCAACAAGGTGCTTCCAGGCTTCCAAGGCTGGAGCGTCGCTCTCTTTGTAGGAGCGGATGTTGAGTTGTTCCGCAGGCGGCATATTGCGTAGCAGCACACTGTAGGCCATGAGGGACTCACTGTAGTATTGAGCCCTGGCGACTTCGGTGTTTTCCACCGGTTTAGGATAGGAGCCGTCGAAGTAATGGTAGATCTGCGCTGTCTGTAGGAGGAGCTCAAGCTCAAAACTCCATGTATAAAAATCATTGCCGTCAAACGCGGCAGTAGTCTTGATTTTTGAAACGCTAAGGAAGCGTGCCTGTGCAGAGTTGATAGCTTCATCACTTGGACGGGGGGCAGTTGTTGCTGATTTGTCTGTGTCGAGGGAGAAGGTGTGCGCGGCGGTATCACGGCTTTTCTCAGCCGGTTGTCCAGGTTGTGCTGGTTGGGAAGTGGTTCCCGCATCGCCTTTGCGCAGGTCTTGGAGTTCTTTCTCCATAGTTGAAAGTCGAGCGAAGAGTTGCTCGAGGGCGGCAGTGCCGATCGTGGTTGTCGCCTCATTTGTCGCAGCCGGGTTGGTTTGTCCTTCAGCCGTCAGATTTGCTTGGCCTCCGGATCCTCCGGCCATCTTGGTCTTGGAGCGTGTGCCGCTCGCCAGATCTTGGTTCGGCGAATTTCACGGAAGTGAAGTTGCGAAGAATCCCTGAGTAGCTCTCATACCATGTTACAATCCTAAAAAGGGACTTAGCGAAGGATCGCTCAGGGTTGATCGCAGAGTAGTGTTGCAGCGGAAGTTTGAATCTCAGGTCAGAGTGAATGTAAATGACTGAATTGATAATATCATGCATACATCGAGTTTATATAAGAGTACAGGGGAATACGAAAGGACCTAGACTAGCCATGTACTCTAAGGGGTACATTCCCTTATTACAACCGAATTCAAACCGTGCGGCGCGAGAATTCGTTTCAAACCTGTTCCCGCTCATTTCACTTCAAATGTTTCTGCCAGCATCGGTCTTGGTCAGACGGTTGCTGCGTCGCTTCGACTCTTCTGACTCCTCGACTTCGTACTCGGTAGAGTCGGCTCCTGCAGCATACAGGAATGCCTTCTCACAAAGTTTCATATCGTAACAAATCCAATGGACACGTATGCGCCTCCGGAGGAACCAGGTGAGTAATGCGCCATAGGCCACCGTGACCGATCTGACCGTATGTGCAACTCCATATGCACGCCGGTAAGTAGCCGTCCGATGTGGCCTTGCAACCAATCACTGCGTAGTTATGCTTGACCAGGAGAACTTTAACACCAAACCGATGCTCTAGGGCATAAACATAGACGGCCTCCTTGCACTTATCACGGCTAGAGTATAGGCCTCCCAGCTCCAATGGCGCGTTATCGTTAGGCCTGTCGTAACGTGGGCAGAACTCGGGTGCCGCGTTTAGCTGGCGCAATGCCTGCGCTAAGGGATTGGACGCCATTACGAAGGCCTAAGAGTCACATAGTAAATAGATCTGACCAAAATTACGGAGGACTAACTAACTGTAGTCGTAATGGAGACCCAGTAGTTTTACCCTACCAAGTATCACAAGAATGAACTAGCATATCCGAAATCTGTGGGAAACGGGCCTTCCGCATACGGTCATGTTGATTTCGCAACGGTTCATGAACCGTTGAACACCACACATCTGGCATCATGTCCTTGGCGGGAAATGACTTGGGCTAATCGCATAAATCACGATACAATCAACGTCCATTGGAGCCTCTAGACACCTGAAAGCAACCACGAAATTTATCGAGATTCTGTAGGAATGGTGATGTGGCATGCCACAAGTACCTGGACGCTGTAGCATTTTGTGGTTGGCGGGTAATTGTGACTGGTTGTGATTTCACGCGAGTTCCGAGCTGTTGCCCGAAATTCGGAGGGGAAGGGCGGGAAAGTCGGGATGGGGGGGGGGGGCGGAAACGCGGTCCATCCAATTGATAAAAACGCCCGCGTGGCGAGCTGTGAGTAATTCAGGTCGATGCAATTGAGAGAAACGCGAATCCCGCCGATGCGCGTCATTTCGCCAAGGGAAACTTGTTTCGTGCAAGTGTAGCAGTTCGACGTTTTTTGGAGGCAACCTCGAAACTCGAAGAATGCCATGCCCTAGGAAAAGTTCGTAACTCCCGGTGATGATGTCCTCCACCCTCGGTTCCGCCGCCCATGAGCTTCGTGGCGCGATGACGGAATGCTCTCATGCGACGACGGCTCACACGTCGTCACAATGCCAAGTCGCGCGATGGCTTCTGCGCAGCGCGGTTCGTACTGGAAGGGAGTCAGCGCCGTTTTTTTCCAAGGCTTTACAGCTCGCGCGGACAGGGCTCTTGAGATTAAGTCCCCATGCAAGTGGTTCCTGTGGCTCCCTATTCTGTCTCCAACGATATTAAGCCGATCAGCGCATCTTTGGATCCCATTTCGCCGCAGCACGCTTTGGCGCCGTCGTCTCGCTTGCCGCCTGAAGCGGAGTGCATGGTCCTCGCCTGCACCGAATGCTCCTTCCACTTCATCATCCCCCGCACCTCGCTGCCAAAATCCACGCGGCCTAGTAGCGGCGCACACCAGGTATCCTGCCCGTTGTGCCGCTCCGCGTGTCACGAACTTCCCTCCAAGGGCAGTACTAGCGGCAGCAGCAGCAGCAGCAGCGCGTCCACGGGAAGGGAATCTATGCCAGGCGCGGTTGAAGCAGGGCTCCGCGATGAGGTCGCTGCTGCTGTGACGAGTGGGTTGGTGACGGCGGATGGCGAAAAGGGCTTTGTCGACTCTGCAATGGAGCAGTCAGACGGCTGTGCGGAAAACAACAGCGAAAGTGCCGGGGCTGATGGGGCCGGACGGGGAGGGCGTGGCAAGTACGCGGAAGATTCTTCGGAAACGAAGGCAGAGGCAGGGGGTATGGTAGGTGAGGGAGAACTTGGGAAAGGCAAGGGGAGAGTGGGAGAGATGGAAGGTGCAGGAAAGGAGGAGGTCGTGGCAAGTGAGAATGGTGGCGTCGATGATAAAGATGATAGTTCCGCCGGGGCTGGCTGTGGGGGAGGCAGTGCTACTGCTGCGAGCACAGGCATGCCGGCAGCAGCAGCAAGCGAGGGGGAAGCAGAAGAGGGGGAAGCAGAAGAGGGGGAAGCAGGAGAGGGGAAAGGGGTAGAGGGGGGAGCAGCAAGTGTCATGGAGGTGGCAGCAGGATCAAGTGCGCCAGTCCCAGCTGTGGCTCCGGCAGTGCCTGTGGCTGCAGTAGCAGCAATGGTGCCAAGCACAGGACCTGTCGCTTCCCCTGCGGCAGGACCCTTGCTTCAAGCGGCAGTGCCAGCAGCAGCAACAGCAGCAGGGGAAGGAGCAGGAGGAGCAGGAGAAGCAACAAGGGCAGGGATCGGTGCAGGTGCAAGGCCGGAGGATGCGTTTGCAGCAGAGTTGTCAGCTCGGTTAAGGCGCATATCAATCCGACACACGCCGCTCGCTGCACGCCCTCCAGTGGCGCAACACAGGGAGCATGAGGTGAATTCCCGTACTGGCAATGGTGAGGGCTATAGCAGCCAACAGAGCATGATGGGCAGCGGTGGTAGCAGGCCAGATGACGGGCTGCTTGCGGGGCTTTCAGCACTTCTAGCGATTGCAGTTATGTTCCTGCTCAAGAAGGCTGATAAACATTTTGAACTACCTTCAGAACGAAGGTGGGCGAGACTGGAGTGAAGGCTTGGCTCTGAGCTGACATGTGTATTATTTCGAGATTCATTTCAGAGCCTTAGTATATACTGTATGAAAAGTACTAAATGCAGAGGAGCTATTACTGGTCCTTTCATTTTCCAGTGGGTGATTGCGACATTTTATGTACCTCCCATGTACCAGTCGGCGGGTCGTAGTATGTTCAAAGCCTCTAGGACAAACTACATTCCAACTTCTAGGACAGACTACAGGTAAAATGCCGCTGGATTCTATTACTTACATAATGCTTGCCATCATATTTCCTGAAAGTGGCCCCCCTTTCAGCTCCCCTACTCGTTCTTCGGGGAGTAGGTTGAAATGAGCACGAGATCCTTGACCTTCGTTGAGTATTCCAGCATCGTCTCTCGCTTCTCCGTCACAAACTCAGTGCTCCTCTCCATGACTTTTGAGTCGACTCAAAAGTCAGCTAGGAGAGTAGGTTGAGATGAGCACCAGGTCCTTCACCTTGGTCGAGTACTCTAGCATCGTCTCCCTCTTCTCCGTCACGAACTCAGTGCTCTTCTCCATGAATTCGAGATAATCAGGCGATCCCGGATAGACGACGTTATCGGCCACGATGACAGTCCCAGGCCCGATGAGTTTCTGGTCTTTAATGAACAGGAGGTCAGGCAGATAGAGGTGCTTCACATGATCGATGAAGACCAAGTCGAACGGAATCTTGCTCGCAGCTTGCCGAATCTCGTCAGTTGAGGTTTGCAGCGTGCCTGTAACGACGGTGACTTTGTCGCTCAGGCCCGCGTGTGCGACCATGCCGCGTACGATGGACGAGCGGAATTCGCTCAGCTCCACGGAGACCAACCGAGCTCCCGGCTTGGAGAATTGCGATGCGATTCGAACCGCCGAGTACCCGCAGAACGCACCGAGCTCGATTGCGCTGAGAGGATTTGCGCGGCGGACGGCGTCGTCTAGAATAGCACCCTTGACATCCCCCACGTTCATAAAGAACTCCTGGCTGGACCACGCGTACGTATCGATGGCGTTGATCACTGCCAGCGGGTCGTTTGCCGGCGTTGATCGCGTCACGTGCTCCAGCAGCCGAGCCTCCTGGCCGTCTGATTCCTGTCCTACCACCCTTTCCTCCTCGCTGTTCGCAGCTTTGTCGGGCATGGTTGCCAATTAAGTTCGTAGGTTAAAGATGCGAAGGGGAACTACAAAACAGATCGCGATTGGTGGATTGGAGGCTACAGCGGGGTCCCCAGCGCTCGCACGTGGTATCCGACAGGAGATTTAGGCGACTCGTAGAAAAATAAAGCCGGACTCGGATTCTAATAGGGACGTCAGATTTCACAAAACCAAACCCGTAGAAGTTGGTGTGGGGAGGAACCAACTGCAACTACTAGCAGTCTGTGGAACCGAATGGCTCGCTTCGCTTGCTCAGATAAATTTCGGGAGTATTTTAGCGAATTTCGCAGTGGCCCTGAACGAGCGTCGCCGCAGGGGTCAGTCGCAGCAAGTGCTCGCAGCAAGTGTCCCACACAGTTGAGCTGCTTATAAGCATTACCTACATCCATCAAACAAATCTTACATAATCACTGACTTCATACATAATTTTCTTGCAAACTGCTTGGCAAGAGCGTGGCTTGGCGAAATCGTTCCAACCAGCAAAACTGTTCCCCTTTTCAGCACCCCTACTCGTCCTCAGGGGAGTAGGTAGAAATGAGCACCAGGTCCTTATGTTTAGTCGAGTACTCTATCATAGTCTCCCTCTTCTCCGTCACGAACTCAGTGCTCTTCTCCATGTATTCCAGATACTCCGGACAACCCGGAATCCAAATATTATCAGCCACGATGACACTTCCAGGCCCGATGAGATTCTGTTCCTTGAGAAACAGGAGGTCGGGCACATAGAGCTCCTTCCAATGGTCGATGAAGACGAAATCGAACGGAATCTTGCTCGCAGCTTGACGAATCTCGTCAGTTGAGGTTTGCAGCGTGCCCGTAACGACGGTAACTTTGTCGCTCAGGCCTGCGTGAGCGACCATGCCGCGTACGACGGACGAGCGAGTTTCGCAGGGCTCCACAGAAACCAGCCGAGCTCCCGGCTTGGAGAAATGAGATGCGATTCGAACCGCCGAGTACCCGCAGAACCCGCCGAGCTCGATTGCGCTGAGAGGGTTCGCGCGTCGGACGGCGTCGTCAAGGATGACCCCTTTCACGTCGCCGACGTTCATAAAGAATTCGCGGCTCGACCACGCGTAGGCATCGATCGCGTTGATCAGGGCTTGCGGGTCGTTGGCTGGCGTTGATTTCGTCACATGCTCCAGCAGCCGAGCCTCCTGGCCTTCTGTCTGCTGCCCCAGCACCCGCTCATCCTCGCGGTTGACAAATTCGTCAGGCATGGTTGAAGATTACGCTCGCGGGTTGATGATGCGAAGGGAACTACACAACAGACCGCAATTGGTTGTTCGGAGGCTGCAGAGAGGAATAACAATTACGAGGGAGACTTTGTGAAAGAACGCGAGGAATGACGTTTTTTTAGTAGGCTTTGTTAAAACCCAGGGTCCACAGGTTTCAAAGGTAGGAAGGTTGGTTGGACTTAGTGACAAAACCAAAGGTAGGAAGCTTGGTTGGACTTTGTGACCCAACCAAAAGTAGGAAGGATGAGGCAACTTCGGGATACTTGAGACTCCGGTAGGCGAACGCCTAGTTCCATGAGATTACAGGGGCCTCAGAGCTAACGGAAACGAACCTGCTGGAAGCTGGTCCGGAAACATGCGCGCACCGAGACGGGAGTCGGCACGGTTCAGGAATCAGGAATCAGCTCCTGCGAATGAAAGGAACCATTTCGCCTTTTCGCCCTCTTGCGAATTTGTGCGCTGGACTTCGAGACACACGTGTGGGTCGCAGCGACCCAACTTCACTTGTGGACTTCAGCATGCCAAGTCATCCCTCGAACAATTCATACCTCCACAGGCAACCCAGAGTCGTCCGATCAATGCAGCGTACGCTCCACGATTTGCGCTCCCGGAAATCTAGCCATCCGGAGGACCAATCCGAAGGCGCCCAGGTTTTCTGGCTCGACTTCACAACATCCCAACGAAGGGTTGCATTCGTTCACCTTGGCAGCAGGCGGTAACCATCAGCGAAAACCCAATCGAGCGAAACATTCGATACAAGAGCAGGTTCGGAGGTCAGAGCTGCCGAGCTCCACTTGGGGTCACACCTTTTCCCCATCGCCGAGCCAACTTCGGCTCGGGACAGCTGCTCTTGGCCTGAGATACGAACCCGTTCCGAATCACAACAATCAATTACATTACTCGCTCGCAAGCCTACAATCAATTGTACAGTTCCATTCTCTCGGGTGAATCCTGCGAGTAACTTGGTGAATATGCTAATTGGCTGACATACATAAGCTTCGCTTCCTGCTACCGACTGACGGATCCCGTTGCGCGACTGGGATGGCGTCATTATGTGTATCCAATCCGTTATCTGCTAACGCAATTTCTCGTACCATCACTGCAGCCTCCCATTCTAGGTCAGCCAATCTGTCATGCCCCTTCTTCGATCGCCGAATTTTAATGGCTTACACGGCGGCATGCCACGTTGGCCATGCAACGTCTGCTATTAATCCGAGACTAGGCGACAGAATAGGAAACAAATTGGGCCAGCATTTCTCACACCGGGCCCTCGACAGAAGAGCTTCAACCACCGCGCGATCGCACCGGGCACCTCGCTACTCGCACCCGCGATTCAACTGGCGCTCGCGACGAAAGCCAGACGGCGAGGATGCGACGACCGCGCCGGATGACACGCCAATTGGTCAACAAGCGACCGCGGAAGGCGGCGAGCCGAGCGGACACAGTCCCGGATGGGGCTCGCCGGTGTGGCAGGCGGACAGCAGCGACGAGGGGGAGGAGGATTCGGGCGGAGCAGGGGCGGTGCGGAATGGGAAGGCGGCGCGGAAGTCGTCAATCTCTCACATACTCACTCCCGACGGCAAAGCCTTCAGGTAAGCGTCCGTCGAAACGTCGTCACCCTTTTATGGTGTCTTGCTCTGTCACAAGGAGCGGATGATGGCACTGGCTTTCGCGATTTGAACCAGGAGTTGTTGGATTTTGTGTCAATGCGGGTTGGAAGGTGGCGAGGAAACCACCTTTGTAAACCTGCAGCAGAGTCGCTTCCTTTGTCAGAGTGTGTCATACGCACACATGCTCTCTCTCTCACACACACATGCTCTCCCAAACACGCGCTTACACACATTCTGCTACGCAAAACCTTCACGACCTGTGTCTATCCTCGGCATTTTCCTCCCGCGCTGCCCTTCCTCTGTCACGCGCACGGGCAGGCCGCATCGCATCGTTCTGGTGCGGCACGGGCAGAGCGAGGGCAACGTGGACGAGGCGGCGTACACGCGCATCCCCGACTCCAAGATCGCGCTCACCCAAAAGGTATCTCTCGTTGGGAAAGGCAACCTTCACACGCGTTTCACGCATGGATTGCTGAAGAAGAGTTAACAGTGGTGGCATGGGGACGCAGCTAGGCACTGTAGCACCCCAGCCTCACCGCTAGCCAATTTTCTCTACCCCAGGCAACTCAAGTTTGCAGAGATAACAACAGGCAGGGGACAGAGCAGGGCATGCAAGGGAAGGGAGGCGATAGAGTGCAGCCCAGCTTTGTCCCTGAGTGCTCACATTTGTGCGAGCCCACCCACCATCACTGCTTGCCTGCTTGTGTTCATCCGTGGCTGCTTGATTTGCGGTGTGCAGGGGTGGGAGCAGGCGGTGGAGAGGGGGAGGAAGCTGCTTTTGAAGTCGAGTCAAGACACACCCTCACTGCTTGCCTGTTTGAATTGAATCACACTGTGCAGGGGTGGGAGCAGGCGGTGGAGAGGGGGAGGAAGCTGCTTTTAAGTCGAGTCAAGATACACCCTCACTGCTGGTTGAATTGAATTACACTGTGCAGGGGTGGGAGCAGGCGGTGGAGAGGGGGAGGAAGCTGCTTTTGAAGTCGAGTTAAGACACACCCTCACTGCTTGCCTGATTGAATTGAATCACACTGTGCAGGGGTGGGAGCAGGCGGTGGAGAGGGGGAGGAAGCTGCTTTTAAGTCGAGTCAAGACACACCCTCACTGCTTGCCTGATTGAATTGAATCACACTGTGCAGGGGTGGGAGCAGGCGGTGGAGAGGGGGAGGAAGCTGCTTTTAAGTCGAGTCAAGACACACCCTCACTGCTTGCCTGATTGAATTGAATCACACTGTGCAGGGGTGGGAGCAGGCGGTGGAGAGGGGGAGGAAGCTGCGGGAGCTGATAGAGGCGGACGGGGAGGACGACTTCAAGGTCTACTTCTACG